CTAATAATTAATTAATAATTTCATATATATATATATATATATATATATATATTTGTAGTACTCCTTTAAAAAAAAATAAAAATAAATAAATAATTTCTATAATAAATAATAAATTATTCTTATAAAAATATTAATTAATATTTTTGTTGTATATTTAACGAAACATTTAACTTATAACTTAATAATGTAAAATCATTAATATAATAAAAAACCCTGATCAACCTATAAGGGTTAATATGATTAATTAGAAATGATCAAGTAGTTAAAATAATAAAAAAAAAACATTAAATTAAAAAAGAACAAAAAGATAAATAATAAATACATAACGTGCATGTAGGATAAATGTGAGTGTGTATGTGTGTGTGTAAGTGTTTTGAAAGTTTTATGTAGGCGTAGATCGAAAAGCGGAAATGCATGATGCATGTTTGTTCATCGAAAAGGGACAGGGAAGGTAAAAACGTATAAAGACCGGTGCAAGAAACGTATTTCGAAACGTAAACCTAAGGTAAGGTTAGAGAGAACAACACGATTCTATGTATGTATGTATGTGTGTGTGTGTATGTTTCTCTACTTTTCCTGTGCTGTGGCCGATTATCGTGTGGTGGTCATTTCGAAAGAGAACAGCTGTCCTTTAGAACCTTTCGATCGAACTGTATAAACCTAGTTGCTCCTCGTTATACTAACAGGACAAAATTGTAGAAAACTTTTACCTCTAGGAAATATCTAATTGTAAAATAATCATCTAAAATGTGTTTACAAAATTAAATAAAATATATTGTCTATAATTAGATTTTATTAATTTGATTAATTTTTCTTTTTTTTTTTTCATTTAATATGTATTAACGTGTGTATTGTTTTTTTTTTATTTTTGGTTACTTTGTTTCTGTGTTGCATGTATTACTTTTAAAAAATGAGTAACTACTTATACGTTTACAAAATGAAACAAAATAATATTTTGTTAAATTATATTTCAATTTGATTTATTTTTCATTTAATATGTTTTAAAGTGTATTGGTTTTTTTTTTTTTTTATTACTTTGTTCTTGTTGAATGTATTTTTATTTTTTTATTATTTCTTTTCATTAGAAATATTTTTTTATTTTCATTCTATTTCAATTTATTATACTTTCTGTTCGTAATTTATATTCTTCTTGTTGACACACACACACATACACACACACACATTTTCTTTTCTTTACTTTATTTTTCTTTCTTTTTATTATATTTTATTATTTAGAAAGTGTTTGTTTAACGCATTATAGCATTTCGTAGGGACGAAGAGAAATCGGCTAATAGGAAAATAGGGACTTTGTATTGTTCCTTTTAAGGTTTTAAAAACTTTTCCTTAATATTCTCTTTTTTTTTTTTTATAGATAGAAATAAACTCTTTCTTAGTTCCTTGTTTTCTTTTACCTTTTTTTTTTTTATAGATAGAAATAAACTATTTTTTTAGTTCCTTGTTTCTTTTACTTTTTTTTTTTTATAGATAGAAATACACTATTTTTTTAGTTCCTTGTTTTCTTTTACCTTTTTTTTTTTTATAGATAGTAATAAATTATGTCTTAGTTCTTTGTTTTTTTTTACCATTTTTTCCTCTTACCTTTTTTTTCTTTCTATTCTTCTTTCTTCCATTCTTTCGTTTCTATTCTGTTTAGAATTTTCACTTTGTTTTGTCACAAAGGTGTAGAATAAATGGAGAATTCTTGTTCCAAATTTTATTTCTATTTTTTTTGTTTTTGTTTTTTTTTTTTTTTTATTATTTTCAATGTATATTTTTCTCAAGGGCAACAAGGCACCATCAGTTTGTAAAAATAAAAAAATTATTTCTAATACTCGAATCAAAAAGGTTTTCTTTTCATTCTTTTTCTTTTTATGTTTTTGTTTCTTTTTTTTCATTTTAAAATTATTTTAAAAACATTTATATATCATTTGAAAAGATTGAGATCAAGAAGAGAATTTTCTTTGGTATTTGAAAGACTAGAAAAGAGTTTTTTTGTAAAATGTTATGGGATATTTATTTTAGAAATTTTATCGCTTTACCCCATTCAGAGTCATTTTTTTTTTTTGTTAACTATTATTCCCTCTTATCTATTTTTCGTTTTATTTTAGATATACGTGTAAAATTTATGAGAGATTATGTCAAAGAAAAAAAAAAAAAGAAAAAAAAACCTTTGAACTTGATGAAAGTGTGCTGTTAAAAAATTCTTATAATATCGCGCGACCTATAATATTTATTTGAAAAAGTATTAATCATTCTTTTTTTATATTTTTATTTTTCCTTAATTTCTTCTTCTTCTTCTTCTTCTTCTTTATTTTTTATATTTATTTTTATTTATTTATTTAATTCTATGTATAATGCGAGATGCGAATTGGCTGTGTATACGATTGTACTTTTTGTTTCGGATTATATACTGCGTTCAAGCCCTGAGTTTGTGTTCTTGGCCATCATTGTTTCTTTTTTCTTCTTTTCTTATATTTTTATTATTTTTTTTTTCTTTTTATTTATTACACTTCTACATACCTTTCTTGTCTTTTCTTTTTTTTTTTTCTTGATTCTCGATATTTAAAAAATTCGTCAATTGTGCTCACACGTTCAAGTTTTTTTTTCTTTTTTTTTCATTTCATTTCTTTTCCCAATTATAAATCGACAAAATTCTCGCACATTTTGTTAGAAATCATCATCATTCGTTGTGTTTTATAATTATTATTATTGTTATTGTTTAAGTCCCACTTTTATATTTTACATTTGCTTGTACCGTGATTTATAATAATTGTTTGCTTTAATTTATCTTTCGTTTTCATTTTTTGGTTTGTTGTATTTAGTTTGTCTTACTCCTTTTGTTTATATTTTTGTTTATTTCTTTTTTTTTTTTTTTTTTAAGGAAAAATTTACGTGCATAGAATAATAAATACTTCATTTAATTCTTTTTTCCTTTTCCCCCTCCCAGCAAACGTTTCCATCCTTTACAACTCCCCCCTCCCCCCTATTTCCCTACAACCCCGATCTCAATTTTGTTCTTATCGTTAAGCAATCTTTGCTCTTCTTGCAAGATATATAAATTGATTATTTATTTATATTATATAAAATATATATATGTATATATATATATTGACTAGGAAAAATCGCTAAAGTAAACCGACGATATAAAAACGTCGAGACAATATTTGTGAAATACCCAATTCGATCATTCCAAATCGAATTTTATTTATCTTTTTATTTCCCCATTTTGTATCTCAACGCATCGTTCGTTTCTCTTTTTCTTTTCTTTTTTTTTTAAATTGTAATATTATTATTATTATTCTATTAAGAATAATTTAATTGTTAAAATAGAATAGAATAGAATAGAAAAAAAAAACCAGAAAATATCTTGCATTTATTATAAGTCGATATATGAAATAAATATGAAAATAAAAAATGAAAAATAAAAGCGTAAAGTAAATGCACATGTATATATATATATATATTTATATATATATAATATTATGTATATATATATATATATTTATATATATATAATATTATGTATATATATATATATATATNATATATATATATTTATATATATATAATATTATGTATATATATATATATATATATATTTATATATATATAATATTATGTATATATATATATATATTAATAATAATAATTTAAATGATATATTACAAATTAAATCAAAGTTAAGAATAAATTTAAATATTAATTTAATTAAATTAATATAATTTAAAATATTTAATTAAATAAAAAAAATATAATTTAAATTATTATTAATATAATATAATTATATTATATATATATATATATATATACTATATGATAAATAATTTATGTAAAAAAAAGAGATATTTAAATAATAATTACGTGTTACTTAACGCTTTCTTTTCATTTTATTTCATATTTTATTTACTTATTATTTTTTTTTAATAAGTTATTTTTTTTCTCTTCTTCTTCTTCTTTTTGTTCTTTTCGTTTTTTTTTTCTTTTTTTCTTCATTTTAAATAATTATTATTAATTATTATTTTTTCATTTCTTTGGAGGCCCGTCGCATTGAAAATAGGAACTTTATCGATCACCCGTTCATTGTTTTTTTTTTTTTTTTCTATATAATAATCGTAATAAGTATTATTTACAATAATAACAAATGTGGCTTTTAAACGCGAGAGATACGTTATTTTATTTTTGTTGAATTTTTTTTTTTTTATTTTTTTTTATTTATATAAGTATTCATTCGTTATTTACGAGAATTAATCAAAAATTTGCGGTCAAGGATAAAAGTTATGCTACGCGTTATGTACGTCATTTTTTTTTTCTAAAGTTTTTTTTCCTTTGTAATTTATGTGAACGTCGCGATGAAAAACCACTTAATAATAATGACAATAATAATAATAATAATAATAATAATAATAATAATAATAATTAAACGAGCTCTCGTGTGTTGTGTGTTGGTAAAAATTAAATAATTTTTTTTTAAATGACTTTATATACGATGAATAATACAAAGTGTCTGACCAAATGATTTTTTTTTTTTTTATTTTATCAAACTGCGTCAGCATTTTTTTCCTTTTTCTTTTTTTTTTCTTTTGTCATTATTTATTTTTATAGATTACGCTAATAGAAATAAAAATCTTCAGACATTTTGTATAATGAACGATGATAATAAGATATTTAGCGAGATCATTGTTTGATTCATTAGACGTGCTTTTAATTTTATTTTTTTTTTTGTTTTAACTTTTTTTTCTATCAAATCATCACAGATTATCACGAGAAATCGAATTAAATAAAATAAGAAAAAATTACGAGTCGTATGTATTAAAAAAATAAAAATAAAAAAAATAAAAATAAAAAAAGAATATATAAGAAACAAATAAACCTAAATTGATGTGTATATATATATATATATAATAATAATAATGTCATAAAAGGCAGATCAGAGCTATTATTATAAAGTATTGCAATATAAAAAAGGTTTGACATATTTAAATGTCGTCTCTTATTTGTTATTATTATTATTAGTAGTAGCAGTAGTAAATAGTAGTTGTAATAAATAGGAACCGATACCACGTGCTTTCAGATCGCATTTGAGTTGATTAATATTTGCATCATATTTTTCTTCCTATTTTTTTTTTCACGTTAAATCAAAAGAAAATAAACAAAAACCAACAAAAAAATGTGTTGTTTAACACACTTGACTTGTCGTTCAGGCTATTTGATTTTGCTTTAACAAAACCAACCCTATTACCATGTAATTATTAATTATTGTAAATAATAATATAACAATTAAACAAACTTAATGTGCTTGGTTCTTCTATAATGCATTTTGTATAATGCATCAATTATTTAGTAAAAATATTGTTGATAGATTAAACGTGTACCACCGGTGGTATACGTGGCCTGATGAACAAGTTTAACACGTGTACCACCAGAGATACACGTGGCACGGAACGTGTTAAAATAGGAAGCAAAACTATGTTTCAGTAAATTTTCTTTCGTCCTTAAAAATATGATTTTCCTTTTTGTTTTGTTTTTTTTTTTTCTTAAGCAGGCGTCAAATTGAAAGATGCGGTAAGCGCACTGCTGATTCGTGATTTAACAGGTAAATAAACGAGAGCAGGTGTAAATCGTTTTTCCGAATTAGAATCGTCATTGTTAACCAATGACGGATCCTGTTGTTCATCTATCAAAAATGGTTGCATTATTGTTTTTTCAATATTTACATTAGTATCCTGTGGCATGGCATAACAAGCTGGTACTTTGTGTCTGTTGGCAATATCCTTTAAGGTTTTACTAAGTTCAGCTATTACGCTGTCAGTTGGATCACCGATAGCCGTGTGATCCTTTTTAACGTGCCTTCTAATCCTGTTTACATTGGTAGTTGCATAACCGCATTGAGCACATTTGAATGTTCCGTGTGGGGTAACTTGGACCGGATTGTTGTCTTCTTGAACTTTAGGATTTATCATTTGTTGTTCCGATTGTGTTTGTATTGGTTGATGATTGATTTGCGTTTGATTGATCACATTGTTGTCTTCTTTCATTTCTTCTAATTTCGTATCTTTAGGATCTAAATGTATACCGAGTTTTTCTTGATGATCAACAATATTAGGCGTTTGAAGTATCGGTGGTATTTGAAATTGCGTTAGCAATGCAGAAAATTGATGTCTCGTTAACAAATGTTGATGCAATTGTTCAGGTTGATGAAATCTTTGTGAACAAATAGGACATTGTAATGTATTATTACTATCACTTTCAATATTTTCCGGTTGATTAACGTGAGATCTTTCGTGTAAAAATAAAAATGGTAATACTGTGGTAGAAAAATTGCAATATGAACAACGATAATTTTTCATTTGTTGATCGTCCGAAGATGAGCCAAATAAATTTGACAATACTTGATTACCTAAGCCCGTTAAATCGGTTGGTTTGTTTTGTTGTTGTAATTCAAAACCATTTGGTATCTTCAAATTGGATACTTGTGCGATTGGTGCGATTGATTTGGACGAGTTAGCAGTGGTGGTGGTGGTGGTAGATCGATTGTTACTTTTCGATGTAGACGTTTGATTTTGTTGTTCAATTTCGCGCCATTTATCAACACCATTTTTTCCATGATCATTTAATAAATGTGCTTTTAACCATTTGATACTTCGAAACCTTCTACTGCAAAATGGACATACTTCGGTAAAATACGTAAAATAACGATGACTTAGATCACCCAATTGTTCTGGTTTCAATGCTGCATCCTCGGAACTGGATGCATCGAATGATTCCTGTTTGGCAGATGAGGATGATGATGTATTTTCGTTGACTATACCATGACTGTTGTGTTTATGTACTCTTAAGAAATATTTACTGCACAATTCCTTGTTACAAATGTTACATATCACGCCACCTATTTGTGCACCGTTTTCAATCTGGATGCCGTGCATCTTTTGCATATGCGTTTTCATAAAATATTTGTTACACAATTCTTTGTTGCAAATGACGCAATAACTCGAAGTAGGTGTCATGGATGCAATCTTTTTATCCGATTGCGTTTGATTATTACTGGTAGGTGTCGTAGGATTGGTCGTTGAATTAATGATCGAACTAGTTGAACTGGTAGTTGGTACTTGTAACAACGGATTTGGTAAATTCGCTTGATGTTCTTCAACGATATGCTTCTTCAATGCTTCTTGATTTACATAATCCTTTTCGCACAACGTACAAAATGCTGTTACGTTCGTATTACTAGGTGATTTTTCTTGACCAGGTGACAGTGGATTATCCGGTACGGTACCGTGTTCCGTAGCCATGTGAATTCTTAACGCTGATCTCGATTCGCATTCTTTTCCACATACGTTACACGATTGTAACACCTTACCGATTACTGATTGATCCAAGCCATTTAATTGTAGGATCATCGTTTGAAGTTTTTGAAGATCCTCGGATATGGAATCGGTGCGTTGATCCTGCGACGTGTCCTGTTCAAATTCTTGTTTAGGTGAATGCTGTTGTTCACCGTTGTTCTCGTGCATCTTTCTACAATGTGCTTGATAAAGTCCGATAGTTTGGAATCGTATTCCACATGGTTTGCACTCGTAATCGTCATTGGTACGATCGTTCGATTCCGAACCATTTGCAGACTCGGTTACGATCAAATTCAATGGGCTTGTTTGTACCTGATGCCAGGTCAATGCTGCTGCCGGATTGTTTGGTGATTTTTCGTTGTCTTGTATCACAATACCGTGTCTTTTCAATTTGTGCGTACGTAAGAAATATTTGTTGCAATATTCCTTGCAACATATTTCGCAAAAAGCGTCAGGATTGATGACACCCAAACGACGAAGACGATCAGCGTTGAATCCAGAATCGCGTGCCTGTTGAATGGATTGAGGTGACAGGTGTCTAGGTGCTGGCATAAACGTCGTATCCTCTTGTTCCATGCCAAAGTCTTGTTTAAAAAGTGTTTCCATACCACCAGGACTGCTACGAGGTGTTTCCCTGTCGTCTTCGCTTTGAGATGCAGGTAAAGATTGATCTGCATGTTCAACGATCGACGAATCGTTGTTCGAGTGCATCTTTTGTTTGTGCTTCCTAACTGATTCTTCATTTTTAAAACGTTTTTGACAAATTTCGCATGGTACACTTGGCATCGGTGGAGTAGCAGGTGGTTCCAATTTAATCGTGCTGCTTGAATATCCACCACCACCATTACCAGCACCACCACCATTACCACCGCCACTACCACCACCGATTGGAAATAATTGTGTAGGAACATTGTTGGCACTTTCATTCGGATTCGGTCCAGGTGAATCCACGTAAATACCGTGCTTGTTAGCCTTGTGCGTTTTTAAGAAATACTTGTTACAAAATTCTTTATTACACAAATCGCAATAAGCCTCGGGATTGAAGATCCTAACTGGTGCTGGAGCTATCGATGTTCTTGGAATATGCGCGGGATGATCGGTCAATGGAAACGTTGACAGAGGTAGATAAGATGCCAAAGCACCTGGAAATCCTGATAATGTTTGCAAATGATGATTACTCATTGGCATTTGATTAGAGGGCCCTGGCCAAGGTTCTTCGCTTTGCGATTGCATGCTTTGTTGTTGTTGTTGCTGCTGCTGCTGTTGTTGCTGTTGTTGTTGTTGGTTTATCCAAGAAGATGGGAAAGTTTTAACGCTCAATAGATTAACGGGACTATCCGACAGATTAGAAGGAGGTTCTAATTTAATAACAGGCGACCTATGTTGTAACATAACACTAGTTTGATTGTTCCCACCGCCATGTTCGTTGTCCAAATGTATATTTAACATTTCTCTAGTTTCGAGAAACATACCGCAATATTGACAACGAATGTCGTTGTCAAGATTTTCATCTTCCATCGAGGGATGATTATGATGATGATGGTGATGAAGATGATGATGATGAAGAAGGTGATGATGATGATGATTGTTCAATGATCTAACTGACAGTTTATTTTCAGTGTTAACCTCCCCTTCTTCCATACCCCCTTCCCTATCATCGTCTTCATCATCGTCATCAACATCGTCATCCTCCTCCTCTACCACCACCCTTCTTTCTACTCCCCTAACAATTTCACCCTCCTCCTCTACCTCCTCCTCGTCATCATCCTCGTTTGATTCATCTTGCAGACCACTCATCAAGGACGATGAAAATCTTACCGGTGTCGTTTGTTTTCGTCTCTTCTTAGGTCCAGCAAAATCAGCGTCTACGTCAACACGAAGACTCTTCTTTCTCAAATCTCGTTCATTCGAACTGGAACCTCCGCCATCGCTGTCTAGTTCAGTGAGATCCGATATCGTCGTAGTTGTCTCCTGTGCCATGCTAGACGACATCATGTTGACTCCCCTCTATTTCTTTCTCACTTTTTCTCTTCTCAAAGAACAACTTAACTCTCCTTCTTCCTCTCCTTCCACGTCAGATCTTCTCCCTCTGTAGACAAGATTAAACTCGTGTTATTTAATCGTTTCATATTTTTATCATTATTTTTTTAATTAACTTGTAAATTGTTGGGATGGATATTTTAGGTGGGGGGTGTTTAGTATTTTTAAATTAGGAAGTATGTGATAATTTATATGTTGTTAATGTGAATGATATTTGATACACAGCACACACACACACACACACACACACACATAAATTAATTATTTATTAAAATATGTTTCTAACAAATATTCTATATTAAATATATTTTATATAAAAAAATATTATATATTATATATTTATAAGTTTAACATTTTATTATATTTTGTAAGTTAGTTTACGTGTTGTTTAATTTTAAATTTGACAGGATTTATATCGTATTGAATAGTTATTCTTTATCTTTTACATAAAATCTAATTAAATAATAAATATTAAATTAATATTTAGAAAAATGTAATTATTGATGGAATGTAACAGACAGGAAAGTATTCATTTCAAAATGACATTATATA